TCCTCTCCTCTCCTCTCCTCTCCTCTCCTCTCCTCTCCTCCAATGTCAGTGGGAGCTTTCTGGGGAGAATAACAGCATGCACTGTATGGTATTAATCAAACCCAGAGCATCACAGGGAATAAGGCAGACTGGGCTCCACCAGCTCACCAAGACTGAAATATTTCATTCTTTTGACAAGACTACATCCCAAAACACAGAATTTTTACCATTGTAATCTGGAATGGCAATTAAATTCTTGTCTTACACTCAAACACGCTGGTAGATTTGAGTCCATTTCATGTCTTATAAGTAATACATTGAGTACATGTTGTGTTTCTTTTTATTTTCTCGGGATGATTCACCACAGCTCCTCCTCACCAACCATTGCTGGCAGGAGAATCTCTCACACTCACGCAGATTTGTCTGTCTGTGTGTGTTTAGCTATTTCTTCCTCTCTCTGTTTGAGCCGATAGGCCTTCAGATGGAGAAGCTGAGACTGTGCGCAGTGTTTTTGCTTGTCTGTGGGCCAGGGCTCCCCTGCTTTGGCTTTTTTTATCCATGCTGAACACGTCACCAGCCTCATAAAACCCCCACCCTCCCCTGACTTTTTCAAATGAACAAATCTGATTGAGCGAATGCCATTACCTGGGTAAATGAATGATTCCTAAAGGACTGGACAAGGCCTAACACCACCCTCAGGGTAAAGCTTATTATCGCTGCAAACTCCAAAGAAGAGAGAGGCAGCTGTGGAGCTTGTGTGCACTTTGTCAGAGGCCAGTATTTCCATATTAATCTGCCACATTTAGGCATCTGAGACAGAGGGCCTCCTGTCACGCTTCTTTGATAACAGAGCAGTTAGCTTTTTCCCCTCATGTATAAATATGTGTAATTCTGATAAGATTAATTGAAACGCCTAAGTATACAGTGGTAGGAGATGAGTGGGAGGGAGAGAGGGAGACAGCAGGAGGGAGAGGAAACACATTATGTTGCCAAAGCATGCATTTTAGACTGGTCTCTGCCTCAGACCTACCCCAGAATGGGTGTGTAGGCTCTCTCTTCTGGCTCCAAAGTGCCTTGAATTGAAAATAGCATCTACCTAACAGCCCTCAAAAATAGCTGAGCGAATAAGTTTTTGCGCCGAGCCGATAAATACGGCGTGGAGCCTCTGACACCGAAGCCTCACCCCAATTTCCAGTGCTCTGGAGGAGATCAGATAGCCCTGTGTCATTTGATTTTCTGCCTTATCTCATCCGCGCCCATCTTTTTGTCTCACGCAGAGCTACATTTTAAGAAGCACACACTCCTTGTATCTTTTGAAGGACAAAACCCGGAATGATATTGAAACAAATAATAGCATCAAACTTTTAGAGAGGGCCATTTCTGTGTTTGATTGATACCAAGTGCTGATGTAGGCATGTCAGATGAGTATCCTTCAGACGACATTTGGGATGCAAATCTGAAGGAGTACACGTTAAGATTGCAACAATCTGCAAAGTTCTTAGTTCACGAGTGCCATTTATGATCACGCCTCTACGATGGGTGACATTACGGATGCTGTAAACCGGAACACAATTTATACTTTGTGTATATCCCGCATAGCTGTTTAGGAGTTCCACTTCTCAAACTGACCAATAAAAACGTCTGTTTAATAGTTGTTTTCTGCAAAGTATGCTAAGTACTAAACAAGAGAGGGGAGTAAGTAAGGAGAAGACAGCAGGAGAGAGGGAGGTGTGAGAGAGTGGAGGTTAGGGATCCTGAGACAGATGAAACAAGAGGGGGAGAGAGAAAGCAGAAAAGGAGTCGGAGCGAGCGAGGGAGGAGACAAAGACGTTCCCTGGTGCACAGCTTGAGTTGACTGACGGCAAGAAGAGAGGGCTGTGGAGAGAGGAAGGGGGGAGGAAAGGGAGGAAGGGAGATCAGCGCGGAGTGAGCACGTCAGTGTGTGAGTGGCGTCTCTCATTAGAAGGTGCTGTCAGGGGCCACAGAGGGGGGACTGCAGGGACCCCACCTCCCCCTTCTCCTCCCTCTCCACTGGCCCCTGAGATCCAGCCAGGAAAATGATTGATGAGTGATACCAAGATAAACACACGCCCTGGCCCCCAAAGGCAGCCCTGCAAAATGATGCATGCAGCGTTATAAATAAACCTTGTGGAAAAAAAATGTAACAATAAACAACAAAACAATGCAAAACAACCATTGGGTTTTCTTATTTTTGGTTATTGTTACAGAAGGCACAAATCAACTCAGCTTTTTTTCTCTTGCTCTGTCTCCCTCTCTCTCGCTGCTTTGATGGGAGTTTTTCTGGCTTTTGTGTTTCTATTTTTTTTTTTTTTATGTCTGTATGTGTTGTGTGTATGTGTGTTGTGCTTATGCATGGGAGCAATGAGCACAAGGCTAACAAGGCTCACCAGCTGACTGGATGGTTAAGCCCCCCTCAGTTACACTGCCTCCTCAGCAGCTTGGGCAGGCGGCTTTCCCATTCATTCACTGTGCCGCACCAAACTCTGAGGCAAACCTGTTCTCATTTGGGAGCGCTCCAAATCATAGCAGCTGTGTGTAGTGTGTGTGTACTTGTATTACTTATGTTGTGGGGACATAAATATGTTTGCATAGTCACATTGTAAGGACTGGATGTTTCTGGGGAGTTTTATGAGGACTTGAATTTTGTGCCCAAAAGCAAGTCTTTATATTGTAAATTCAGCGTAGAGTGAGGGAAGATTTGATGTAAGTAATAGTAAAAAGTAGTAGTTATAGTTAAGGTTAGGTGGATTTTCCAGGAAATTAATGTGAATCAATGTAATGTCCTCGGAAGAGATGGAAACATGACTCTGTGTGTGCGCGCTGAAAGCATGGATGAGTGAATGGGAAACTGTGCCTAGTGTTGCATATGTATGGATTCACACAGATGATACATAACCTTTTAACAATGCACACGCAAATACAAATACATACACACAAAACTATGTCTAACTGCTCCCTAATTGTTGAGAAAGCCATAAATGTTTTATGCTACACTTTCTGTTAATGTTTAACACTGAGCGCCAAATGCCTCCGTTACAAATCGAAGTGGAAAGGCAGATTATCATCAAATAGTTACATTATATCATTATGAGCCTAAAGGCTGTGGTCTGGTGGAGGGAGAATGAATTATGAATGGAGTGTGAGCGAGGATCTTCTCTTTCCCTTAGGGACTTCCAACACCACAACTCATTTAAGTTGGATGAATGAGAGATAAGGAAGGGAGCCCATGCCTACCCCCGACCCCACTCCATACTCCCCCATGCTGCTTGCCTTACACACTGGCCTTCATATAATTTACTCCGAGAGGAGTGTCACTTTAACTCCTCATAGCGCACACGCTTCTCAATGGAAGAAATGTATGCTGAAGGATGCTTTGTTCATTGTCAAACTGTGCATACCAATGCTGAAAAACACCATAAAGAAGTCTTGTCATCTAAGTCACTGGTGCATTTTCTGCTTGGCGCAGACTCGTGTCAGGCCTCTTTGTACATCTCTAAAATGAGTCCCCGAGCTGTGCTGTAGCTTTGGCTAAAAATTCTTCTCATCTCATCTCATCTTTCTCTCTTTTGCTCTCCCTCTGTCTGTCCTGTCTCCACGGATGCAGGCCGCAGAATGGGTCGATGATACTGTACAATAGGAAGAAGGTGAAGTACAGAAAGGATGGCTACTGCTGGAAGAAGAGGAAAGACGGGAAGACCACACGGGAGGATCACATGAAGTTGAAAGTGCAGGGAGTTGAGGTGAGTGGGCTGACAAGAGTTTGGATTTAGAAGGAGTAAATGGGGAAGGAGGCGGGGTGGGGATGGGGGTGGGTATGGGGTGGGTGAGAGCCAGCCTTCATCCTGACACAGACAAACAGAGGTCTACAGTGAGCTCTCCCTTGGCTGTAATGGAGACAGTCACATGCTGCAGTCGGCCTGTGTCTCCAAGGAACCTCACCAAGAAACAATGCGGCACAACAATAGTTTTCCCTGGGAAGCCAGTGGAGTGGAACCGATTGTTTGTACCTTATTAAAGCTCTGGATGTTGCCTTTGCTCCAGAGAGCCTACATTAATCTTGCTGGCTCAAAGCAGTACTGTGGAGCTAGTGTTCCCTCACCTCACTCCAAGTCACTCCCCATACCAGCTGCTGCCATAAAAGGCCCAGTTGTATCCATCCTTGGCTCACCTAGACTCTCGATAGACCTGATGTGGTGGCAATGCAGTGTTGGAACTCGGGTTGATTTATCAGCAATCCCATTAATGAGACAAGGCAACACTCATCCTCAGACTCCTTCACTTTCTTAGCTTTCAATAGTCTGGGTTCTGGTCTCTGTCACATATTTAGCCACAAGCGCTGATGTCACAAGCATGAGTTGAGATGGAGTCAGAGATGTGAGGATGGGAGATTTTGGACTCCCATTTGTGCGTGTGTGTGTGTGTGTGTGTGTTGGTGTAGGTGTGTGTGTGTGTGTGTGTGTGTTTGTGTGTGCGTACACGTACACATAACAGCACACCTCAGGGAGTGATGCTGTGCGTCTGTGTCACACAGTGTGACAAAGACAAAGCTCAGGCATTCTCCCAACAGGGGCTCTGCTCTCTGTTTGTACTCCTCCAGATATTTGTCACTCCAAGAAAATGGCCTCTTCCTTCGCCTAGCCAGCTCAGTGTCATCTCTGGTCCTGCAGTGGTCTGATAACCTGTTGGGACTACACACATCCATCCTTTTGGACTATTACATATATTTCCAGCTTCTGACAGCACTGGCTTTAAAGAAGCTTTCGTCAGCCAACTTGCATTATTCTGGTTAAATTAATGTGTGAAGACAGGCTGTGTTCAGATAATGTTTAGTGCGTGGGCTCTGACTTTGTTAATACTCACGGAATACATAAACCTGTGCAGACAGGGACTGGGAAGTTGTTCTGCCCTTTGTGGCCTAGTTTCTCACATAAATGAAAGACTAAAAAGACCAGCCTACTCCCTGTGTTATTGGCATCTACACAGAGTCCACTGGAGCCAAGTGGCAACTGTCAGAGTTATATGTTGACAGCAAGGCAGAAGTGCATTAAGATGCAGTTCCACTGGCTATAAAAACTTAGTTGACTGCAAAACCTCAAACTTGTACAGAAGGCATATAGCTGACAATTTCACTTTTTAATTTTTGGTAGTGAATGTCCATTAGGGCAGAGTGGTGGTACTGGGGAGAAGCTAGTTTCCTGGTCCTCGGCAGCATAAAATCCACTTAATATATGATGTAAACATTTGCAGAGAGGCTCTAATTTACAAGGCTTTCCTGGCCTCACACCCACCTTCCCATAGGCTATGAGTGGCAGACAGGATTGAACCAAGGGCTCGGGTGTAATCATCAAGCAATCTGAAATTTCTTTCAAGGCTGCCTGTATCGTTCTCTGCGCTCTCGATGCATCTTAATAAACTTTGGAAAAAATTAATAGCGAGCTCCTTATTGCAGTTTGAGAGATGGACTTGGAAACTAATCAAGACAATTACAATTACATGCTGTTCTTCGTGTATGTTAATAATGTGGACAGAATATCAGGATTGCTCTTAAATGTGATGCAGCCCACACTTTTCCACTCACTACAAACTTAATAAAAGGCATAAAGTCACCTTTTTGACATTAACCAAAACTGAGAATGTAGAAGCTTTGTAAAATTACTATTTATGGCAGAGCTTTTGTATTGGATTGCATGAGATTTGACAGCTGTACCTAACAAAGTCACCTGGGAATGTATGTATACAATTTTGGCCTTAGACAGCTTCTCTACCTTATTTCTGCAGACTGCTATATCAACAAGGAAGACATGGAAGCATTGCCCCCTCAGAATACTGTGATGTGATTTCTATTTTCCAGCATCTGCGCTGGTCAATGCTCCAGAAAAGCAGCTGTTTTTCTTTGGAGTCTTTTCCTGAATTGGCACATCGCTCTTACAGCTCCATAACATACCCGAGTCAAATGCACAACTCGGAGATACTGATAAGAAGACCCATTTTTATTAAAGTTAATGCGTGCAAAATCATCCAAAGAAGAACGGTGAGAGGTAAAGTCAGCAACAAGTATCAAAATCACAAGCAAGAAATGCGCAAAAGGGGCAGGCTAAAGGCAAAGGCCAAAACCAGGCAGGGAATCCAAAAAAAGGGCTGATGCAGACACAAGACAAAGGCACAAAACCTACAGCAGGTAATTAAGTTATGGTCCATCCCACTTAAGTGTGTGTTCTTGCGCTACCAGGTAGTAGATAAGTGTGTCCCCTGTCAGAAAAATGCAAACACACCATACATTTAAAGTGCACTTCAGGCTACCTTTTCCTAATATTGCTTCAAAGTGCAGATCATACAGTTTGCTACTGTGTGCTCCACCACCCCAGCACAGGTTTTAATGACACTGCCCCTACAACCTGCTTTTAGGACCAACAATTATAACAAACATTAGGATGTTTAAGTTTATAACATGTCGGCAGCATGAATAACTCTAAAGCATACTGTAATAAAATATCCACATCTCTTTGACCATGATTCCTACCTGAAGACATTTGCGTTTCTTTTGAAATAAAAGACAAAATGCTCTTCGATTCAGGGCAGCACCTCAGATTCACTTCATATGTTATGTACTGGAGTGTGTAGATGTCCAGTTGACTTGCCATGGCACTTGAAATGAACATTGAGTGCTGCACTTGTAACACTCACAGTACTGTATGTCCGTGAGTCCTAATAAGCTGCCAGAGGTTCAGATATAGTACAGTTGTTTAATCATTAAAGTGCGCAGTGTACAGTATGCAATAACACTGGACTAAGAGTTTGCTGGAGCGGAATCATCATGAATCGCAGACAAAGACTGATGGCTTACTGCGTTTTTGGCAGCAACTTGGAAGAAATTGTAACTGTCTATCCTGTGATTTTGTCTGTGAGCCTCTTATAACAAGTTTAATTTAACAGAGTTAACTGGTGTGTGAGCAGCAGAGCCAGTGCAAGGTATGAATGTGAGAGCTTGGTGGAGAGAAAAAAGGCAGGCAGAACCTGACTTAGAACTGCAAGGCCACATGGGAACTTACAGAAATTGGACTATAACTGCTATTGCACGTACTCTATATAAACATACAGTGCAGACTTCATCTGTGCTGAGTTATGCTGCTCTCTTGTGTGTTTCGTTGTGTTTGTGTGCGCATACACACCTTGCAGCCTTGGAGGACCTGAGTCATGTCCTCTAAACACCTCGCCCCTCAAGACTGACAGAGCAAGGTGGTGAGAGTGGTGATCCATCACTGCTGTAACTAGCCTGTGATGGAAACCGTGACCCATCATGCACAGTCATGTTTACTGTACGCAAATACAAATGACTTGGCCTTTGCCCTCAGTTCAGTGACTGCAGGAGAGGATCAACAGCTGTACTTTTCAGCTTGCTACTTTATGTAGAAGGAGGAAGGAAAGATCTGTTTTTATGCATAATTCATATCACACCTTCACCATGCAGAACACAAAGAGTTGACATAACTTGAGCATCACGTTGCTTGTTTTACAGGAGATTCTTTACATTGTTCACACTGTGCTGCGGCTGCTCTGATTCCCCAGCCATTCAGTGCTTAATAGAGGTTCTGTGGTTATTACATGGGCCAGGTTTAGTGCACAGTGAGGACAAGTGTTGTGGGTGGGTCAGGCTCGTGATGTTCACTAGCTCTGGCAAGGGAGAGGCTGCGAGACCGGGAGCAAGAGGCCTTCTGGGGCCTGCGAGAGGCAGCCTAGCATGGCAGGAGTAGATGTCAGCGTGTGCTGCTGCTGTCCTGTCTGCTCCGCAGTGCTGGCTCAGCAGCCCGTGTAAACCAAGACTCTACTCTCTTTCTCCCCCCTCTCCTTGTCTCTGCCTTTTACTTTTTTTTTTTTTGTGAGACTTTCTTTTTTTCTCCCTTTTTTACCCCCCAACTTCTTTCATTTGTCAGTCTTTTAATTCATTCACTAGACTTTCCACTATCCTCTTCTACGCCTGCCTCTCTTTCTCCTTGCTTCCGACCCCCCTCACACTACTGTCCAAGTCCACAGTCCAGACGGACAGAACCTTGAGTTGGGCGGTAATGCTCCCTGTTCCCTAAAATTGGAGCGCAGGGCATGTTGCGGCATTAGCGCTTAACAGGCCGTGAAATAGCAGCCTGCCTTCCTGACGTCTCCCCCATCACTCCAGGTGAGTTGGCCAGACGGCTGGATAAATGAGCAAGCAGCACCCACATCAACCATCATGCATTTGGGGCACCTGAGGAGAAATGTCCATCAGTAATTATCTCACCACACCCTGCTCTTACCAAGTTGTTCACCAGCTCCTAACCATGGCAGGCTTCCATAAGGATCGCTCTAATGAGGATGTCCATTGACTATTTATCAACCCCAGATTCATGATAACGCCAGGTTTTAAATGTGCTTTATTGCCCCACGAAGTGATGTCATCTTTATATTCAGGATGTATGTCTCATAGTGTGTATAGCTCTAGCATCCCCTGGCTTCTCACTGTGAAATAGCAGAGGCCTCAAACGCATCTGCTTTGACAAACTCCAACTGATCTCTCTTCTGCTTCTTGTCAAGCTTCTACCCCAATGCAACCACCTCTTTATAGCTGATTAGCTGTTAATGTGCGCTCAACCGCCATCTCCTCCACTCCTCCACCCCTTCTATCCTATCTTCCCATTATTCCTAAGCTTTAATAAACTCCCTCAAACACAGATCGATTTTCTCTTAAGTGAAGGTGGCAGTGCCTCTG